CCCCGCACGGGTTCGGGGGAGCGAGCTGTCTCCCTGCCCCTGGGCAGCGGCTCCTGAGCCAGGGCAGGGCTCGGGGAGGCTGCGGGAATGCTGTTCCGTGCAGCTTAGGGAGCAGCTCGCTCTGCCTCCTGACAGGAGAAGGCCGCCCTGTGTGCCGAGCCAGAGCTGCTGCAGCACAGTCACTTGTCCTCTCTTCTTTGCAGCCTGAACGTGAACAGGTATCCCGCCACCAACTACGACCAGGTGCACTTACACCCCCACCTGTTCCCAGAGCAGCCTCGCGTTTCCCCCAGCAACTACAGCCCGTCGGGAGGAGTTGGGTTTCCTCCAGCTCAGCAAGCTCTGAAAGTCCCCCAGCTCGACCAGTACCCCACTTTCCCTCAAAACGCACATCAGCAACAGCAGCACTACACTGCATCGGCACTACAGCAAGCACTGTTGTCCCCGACACCTCCTGACTACAGCCGACACCAGCAAGTACCGCACATCCTCCAGGGACTGCTTTCTCCCCGGCACTCACTCACAGGGCACACGGACATGCGGCTGCCCCAGGCAGAATTTGCACAGCTCATCAAACGGCGGCAGCAGCAGCAGCAAGAATTTCAAGAGTTGTTCAGGCATATGAGTCAAGGGGATGCTGGGAATATGGGCACCAGCGTGGGACAGAACCTCTCGGAGCGCCAGTCGCTGTCTTTGCCTTATCAGAGCGCTGACACGTACCACCCGCAGAACAGCCCCCAGCATCTCTTAAAAATCAGGGCGCAAGAATGTATCCAGCAGGTACCTGCGTCAGTGCCGCCGCACGGATACGTACACCAGCCGGCCCTGTTCCATTCGGAGAGCATGGAGGAGGACTGCGCGTGCGAGGGGGCCAGGGACAGCTTTCCAGACAGTAAGAGTTCAAACACATTGACCAAAGGTTGCCACGAGACCCCTCTGCTGGTAAACGCAGGAGGGCACGGGGACCCAGAATCTTTGCTAGGAACTGCTAATCACGCGCAGGAGTTGGGGACGCACCAATACAGGCATCAGCCCGCTGCTGGATTCAGTAGGAATAAGGTGCCCAGCAGAGGTAAGCCTTCCTGCCGTGCGCGTGTAGACAAAACACTCTTCCGTGCTGGCTGCGCATGCCGCTTGCCTTCCCGCCGGAGACTCTGCCCAGCACGCCAAGGGTTTCGTGACATAGTTTGCATAGCACGGAATTACCTAGATTCCTCTTGGCTTTTGTGGCCTTAAGTAAATTGCAGGCATAGTCTCTTTAATAAACAGCCTTAAATAAGAAGGGAACCCGACCGGCTGATTTCTCTTTGGAATTTGACCTACTTCTGTGGGCAGGTAAAGACCAGGTCCCCGCATACTGCCGTCTTCTCAGGGATGCTGCGTGCTCTTGATACATCGATTCTTGTTGGTCACGTTTGCTATCTTGCGTAAGCACTGGGCTAGAAACAGTTCAGCTACTAGCGTACCCCCACCTGCAGCAGCGTGCTCCTTCCCTTAAGAACAGACCCTCGGGCCCTGGCGTTGCCAAAGCTGCCACAGACGCGCACAGCAAGAGTAGTGGCGAAGGCCGCCTTGCAGCAGCTCCTCTGGGAAGCAGCAGCAAGGCTCTCGCCCTGCTTGAACTAGAAGGGCTCGATTCAGAAGGAAGTGAGGAGTTTAAGCTTGCCATTAGTGTCCAAAGAGCTTTTCTGCTAGTTGGAAGCTGTGGCGCCTTTGCTCCTCGGTGGCTGCGTTGGCAGCGGTGCAATGTAAGAGAAATTCCTGCCCGAGCTGTAATTACAGGCCTTCACTGTATGAAAAACACTGTCCCAGCCCCTCGCTAGGAGGGCTTTGAAGAGAGAGGCTTTCCAGGCAGAGACGGGTGGATCAGTATGCGCTGCAGGACTGGGCTGTGCTGGTCTCAAGCCACCGGCTTGCCCTTGGCGCAGAGGACCCTGTTGGGGAGGAGCGGCATCCAGGGCGCAGGAGGCACGGCTTTGTTTGGGGACACAGCGTGGGTTTGTTGGGAAAGTACTGGGTTGGAACAGGCTGGCTCGGAGGGCAGAGCAGGCCTGCCAAGCCCTGGCCCCCCCCCCCGGCCCCCCCACGCGGGGGGGGGGGGGGGGGGGGCGGGGGGCAGGGACGAGGCACGGCTTTTCTGGACTCCTCTCACATCTCGGATTAGGGATGTGTTCGCTCCCGGACCTCAGTTTCCCTGTGGTGCTTGAAGCACGGAAGGGGAGAATCGCCTCAGGTCAGACGGAGGTTGGAAGCTCTGGAGCCACGTTTTGTACCGAATCATGAGTTGGCATCTGAAAACCATAGACCGTTAGATGAACAAGGTTTAATGAAGTCAGAAGCTAAACTTCTGCCCCCGTGCTGATGGTGCTAGAACCGGTTACACAAGGGAAGAGGACTTTAGACCACAAGACTTTGTAAATGAGTAAAAGCAAGTAAATGTTTACAAATAGTATTGTGTAAGCCCTTCTGACAGGGCTGTTTGGAGGCCTCACGTAGTAAACTCTGTCCTCAGATGCAACCGCTCGCACTGCTTTCCTCCTGGCTTCAATAACCCACTTGGAATCAGGCCGGGGCCGCTTCGGTTTCAGGCAGAGTCAGCATCTAAGCTGCCTAGGTACGGTCACCTACAGGGAAGTCCTACAAAACCTCGGTGTACGTGCCCCTGGCGCTCCCCTCGCTCCAACATTCCCAAACATGCTGTGCACAGGCACCGAGGGGTGACGGGACCTGCCCCGGCCACGCACGGCTCCTCTCTCCGAGCATTGGTGCTGACAGCTGGCCTTTCTCAGCCACATCCCTGGGGTTTCCCCTGATGTTCCCTATACTGTGTTACAAGGCCACAGCTTCTCTTGAGACGGGGGGATGTCTTCTCTTCTGCCCCAGCTCACCAGGCGTGTTTTCCCTAGCACGGGGTGGGAGTTTTTGTGCCTTCTGAGGGAGTGCATTGACCCTGATCGGAAAGCCCTGGCTTGTCTGTTGAGCATCTGCTGAAGATGGCAGCCTGCAACTGCGAGAGCATCGACCAAATCTGTGTTTAAGATGTGACTAAACCGCCTTTGAACGGCTCTGCTCCAGTTTTGCTCGGACCGAGCCGTCGCAGGGCTGGGAACGCTGCCCATGGGAAACCTGCCTCTCCTCAGCACTGGAGGAGCTGAGCTGGCGGTGGTGGCCTTGCCCACGGTGCCAGTGTCACATGCCGTGCCGACACAAAGGCCGCCTGGCGCAGGAGCCCCGTCCCCCATGGATGCGGGGATGAAAAAGGCTTTCCTGCAGGCTTGGGGTGAGGAAGGGAGCGTGCATTCAGGCCGTCCTGCCCCTGCGGCCTGAGCTGTGTCCCCAGAGGTGTTGTGCTGGCAAGGGGAAGCGTAGGGTTGTATTTTGGGTCAGGGCTATTGCAGGCCAGTGGGGGGGAACTCGTCCTGCCGTGCCTCATCCCCTGCAGCGCAGGGGCTGGTGCCGGGGGCTCGCATCTGGGCCCGGGCTGTTTGTGGAGCTGGAGGAGCAGGCTGCCGGCCCGAACAACTGTTCCCACAGTTGGAGCAGTGTCCCGAGCAGTGTGTGGGTGGCACTGCTCCACCAACATCTGTTACCTCATGTTTTCCTTCTCGCTTTTCCGGGAAAGCTGACTGTTAACCGCACGTAACCCCACGGTTGTGCAAAGGAAGGGGGAGGCTGGCTGCATCTCCTGCTGCCCCGGGATGGGGTTTCTGCAGGACGGCCGTGCCTCTGAGGGCGGCGGGGCGTTGGGAGCGATGTGCTAGGCACGCTCGTGTGC